TCCATCTATGACTGCCACACCATCTTTTTAATTTCCATGCACATGGTTAGGTACAACTTTATAGTCGCCTTCAATAGACGCGACAAAAGGAACACAAAAGAATCAACAAATATAGAAAGCGGATGAGTAGTAAGTAAATTATAAATCGCTATATTACCTTACCAACGTTTTCAAATGTGGCTCAATATAGTTTCACCATGAGAATTCTTTATCATTTTGTGATTCTTTATCATAGTTTGTGAACATCTGTTGGTACCACTGCTTGAAAGTCAGTTGTATTTCTTTCAAAACAATGTATTTTTCATCCACAAAAATTACTTTGGCTGCTCTTTTACCCAAAAGGTCTACCATATAACGTTGATACGATGCTAAGACATTATTACCTACCTCCAAAATGTTATAGTTCATCGTTTTTTCTAAGATTTGACCTTCAAAATATTATTTATGCACACATTTGCTCAATTTAGCATAAAGATAAACACTTTGTTGGATAATCCAATATCTTATCAAGAATTCCCATCTCTACAAAAAACAAAAGAAAATATTTCAGAACTAAGGAATTTTGACAAAATTAGAATTCTATTCTAACAAAATTGAATTCATATTTATTACTACCTCCGATGTCATTAATATAAGAGTTAGTTGATTAATTTGAGTAAATTAAAAAAACTAGCTAATTTAGTTATTTGTAATAAATATGTGTTATCTTTCCTATAATATCCTTACTAATCAAGTATATTGGCTAGAACTATTATTATTATAAGAACCATCTTAAAAAGAAATAAATATAAGAGAAAAAATAAATTAAAATCTTATATTTAAAATTAAAATAAAATTCAAACAGGAGGTAGTACATTTTGAACTCAAAGAAAAATTAAGGAATAACACTTTAATTTATTCAAGCAAAATGAACTTTACAAGAATATGCAAGGATAATAGCATTCCATGCATTACTGCCTCGATGAGACATTTGACTGAACACTTGGCGGGCTGATGTGATATCACCAATACGCACATAAGATGCGAAGAGCATTGTGTTTTTTTTCGTAGGCAAGCAGAGCTTGCAGGCAGGATTGAACTCTGATAAAAGCCACCAACAGGCGGCTACCGTGCCACTGCGCGCGCTGGCAGCACCAATCGCATGTTGAAGCTTAATATGATAGCAACTTGCGGTACTATTTCTTTCATGTAGCTATTAAGAATAAGGTAGTGTTAGAGCTTAATGTGTAATGATTTGTTATAAATTTCATATTATAAAGTGACATGTGATTTATTTTAACAATCTCAATGTTTAATACGTGATACCTTGTAGAATTTAAGAAATAAGATGTATATATTACTTATAATTGACAAGTAATGCAGGACGGATAAATTTTACATTTTATATCAATGTTAATTTATATGAAAGATTAATGATTTAACTATGGAACAATGACAATTAGATCCAAAACTTTAATCTATAACAAATAACGATCTAGACAATTGTAAACATGAGAGTTTCAATTGCAAATTATAAGACTTAACTGCTATTAACTTCTTTTTTTTTTGGTTGACCAACTGTTACTAACTTCTGATTTGCAATTATGACGTTTGTATTTGTAACTATGGCTAAATGGAAGTTTTGGATTTTACTATGATTCTCTCTTAAGGCTGTGTTTGGGTGACACCTCAAACCATGGTTTGGGGAATAAATCACCCAAACACCCACCCAAAAACCAAAACTATAGTTTTGGACCAAAACCATAGTTTTGGAAAAAGCAAAATTTTTTTGCTTTTGGAGAAAAAAGGGAGAGTGTGAGAGCCTATAGGATATGTATCTTATTATTTTTTTATAAACATATTTTTTTAAACATATTTAATCTTATATTTTATAAATATATATACATATTAATTATTTATTAATTATATTATCTTATGTATTATTAATTATGTTAATAAAAAATATATTATTAACAATTTTATTCTTTCAAATTAAAATATATCATAAAATCTATTTTTCTGTAATTATCATATTAACTTATGTCTTTTTTTTAGTAATTTGTATATATAAAAAGTGCTTCTGATAACAACTATCCAAACACTCTCACTTCTCAAAATCACTTTTTCATCAAAATCTATTCTTCCCAGAATCTATTCTCCAGAATCACTTTTCCAAACCACGGTTTGGTTTCATCCAAACACACTCTAAATCAATTTAAAGTTACGTCTTATGTGACAAAGTTGGGCCTTGTTTTATTTTTTCTTCTGCCATAAAGTTGAATGTTTTGGAATTTACTGCGATTCCCTCTTGTATCACATATTTATTGTATTTCATAATCTGTATGCAATAGAGGACACATAAACACACGCATGGTATGAAACGAATGGAGTATCAGTTTTTTTTTTTTATAAGGCCCAAATGGTCATTTTTCCAATTTATGAATGTTTATTCAGTTGGCTTCTTCAAAATAAATTTAAATGGGAAGGAGAAAACAATTTAAATGGAAATTTCCTTTCTCTGCATGATTTAAACTCAGTATTGAAGAATCAAGTCCACTCGTAATCCAAAACCCAACAACGTAACGGGTTCAAATTTGAACCAAATGCCTGAGTTTAGGAAACCTGAGAATCATAGACAGAAATCAAGAGGAAATGAATGTTAAATATTATCAGTATAATAAAATTATTATTGATACTTTTTATTTGATTGAAATGTTCTTTTTTTTTAAATTTAAAAATCTTTTGACTGAAGTATGATACCTGATAAAATTTTCAATGTTTTAATTTAATTTATGTCTATTTAATATTTTTAAATTTTTAACTGACATGGTTTGAAATAGGGATGCTTCCCTTGTGTACATTTAGAGTTTAGACATTAATTCTATTATAAACATAGATGCAAATAAGCAAATTAAAATTGATTTATTATATCAATAATAAATTTTTATATTTTTTTTACCACAATAATTTTATGTTTATATAGTGCTCCTATAATATAATACATATGTGAAACAATTTTCGCAAATATTCATTTTTTTAAAGGATAACGGGTTTTATTTAGTCCTGGATATAGTTATTTTTCATGGATGTTATATAACATTCAATACATCAAGTATATCAGTCAGGTTTGATTTCCTAGACTAATAAAACTGCAAGAAACGTTAATCTACAGGAACTAATTAGATCAAACGTCTCAAAACGTTAAAACTATACAATAAATTGCTCAAACCTTTCCCCTTATAAATCCCTTACAGCTAGCAGTGCATGATCAAACACCTGAATCCTCAAAACATGAAAACCCTTCGGACAGCCATGGTGGTTTGGTTTCTGACGGTGGCGTTAGCCTCCATAGTTTCACAGGCAGACGGTCGAAGAGCCTTAGCAGAAGAAAGCCCTCCGGCCATTGCGCCGGAAGGGGACACCATGGCCAGCCTCGACGACCATTACCTGGCGATTTCTCTTCAATATGCTGCTCAAAAAATAAGTGATCACTGTGTGGAAGAGATTTTAGAGAACATTTTTATGAAGAGTCTTAGGTTTGTAAGTCCAGAATGCCTCCTTGAACTGGAAGAAGCAGAGCCAAATTACCACAATGACTTGGTCAGAAACATGTAGCAATGATATCATTCTTCGCCAGAGATCATAGCTGGTCGTTTTGACATTGAATTAGGATGGTGTTTTCGTTTATGGGTTTATAATTAACTTAAATTACCATGTTATTCCACGCCATTAAGATGGTCGTCCTTTAATTATTGTTAACCTCAGTTCCTCAATGTGCTTAAACATTGCCTTGTAATATTTCCCCCCACTTATTGGGCTTATTGGACTCAGGCGAAAGATCGGTGCTAATGCTTAGAAAAAACAAGTCAAGGCTCACCTTGCCCCAAAAGCAGTCCAATTTGGAAATATAGGCCAGCTAGCTTGTAGGCTAACTTCTCACGGGCTGCTCTGGCTTGAGCGAGGTGGGCGACATCATCTCATCCAACCCATTATAAAACAATTTTAAGTTTTGTTCATATAAATGGTTATATTGAGAGAGTTTATCTTTATTCCGAACCCGTTAGTATATTTAGCAATCTAATGCTGTCTCGGGTTCTTAAATATATTGACTCAGTTAATTAATTTGAAGATACTAACAAAGTTAAAAAAATTACTTAATTGTAGCATATTTTGCATGACCTTTCTGAAAATAATTATGTGTATCATTAGATTACTTCTCTGGTTCTATTTATAATGCATTTAGAAAATTTTTTTTAATATATGTACAATTTTACTCATAATTTATTATTGTGTTGATTTTGTTTAAATGAGATATAATATATATTAAACAGGGATAAAGTTAAAAAGTTATTGAATTTTAAATGAGAGTTAACAAAGTTTTAATGTTTTTCTTAGTCTATGTAAAACATGTTAGAAATGATTTATAAATAAGACTAGAAGAGTATATATTAGTTTATAAGTTAGGCAAATTAGTTTGGATAAAAATAATAAATGTAAATACTATAAATCAATTTTTTATTTTTTTAATCTCTCCAAATTAATCAACTAGTTTTTTATTAAGAATCAAATGAAGTATTCTTCTGACCCTAAATGAAAGACTCATTTTATAATACAAAATTATATTACAAACTAAGTATTACATTTAAGGCTGAAGGAGTGTTAAATCATAATTTGTATTCAACTCGTAATTTGGGGAGTTTTTATGTCATTAAGTCTGGACACAAATAAATCATAGTAGTATTAATTTAGTTATTTATTTTTTAAAAAAAAAAACTTATGTGTCAGCCGGTTAGATGCAGGGTAATGTTGGGGGAACGTTGGCCCTAACACTGACATCCAAGTGGGATCCTATTATCCTACCGATGCATTATACAGGAACATGGAGTTCCTCTATTTTCCGAATCCCAAATTTTCTGGTGGGCCGGAGGCGGAGCTATGAGCGGCTCAAAAATATAAGTCAGTCTGGCTCGTTGCAGGGTCACTCAAGCAGCATCTTGCAGAGCTCCTAGATGATCGTTCGTAAATACCCACAGCAACATCCCCTTCGTGTACTAGCATACACCAAATCCTAGTCTCTTCCATGCTTCTCTCGTTTCTCTAATTCTCTCATCTGTGGTCGTGGTGGACGCGCCGAATGTGAAGAAAAGTGCCAAAAGTCTGGAGAAAAGTGAATCCAAAGGAATTAATTAGAAGAGAGAGAGAGAGAGAGAGAGAGAGAGACAGAGGGCGAGATAAAATGAGCAGTGGAAACCGAGTTTTGTTGTGTAAATCAGTTTCTTCGCTCATCTTCACCATACCTTCCTGTCTTTCTTGCACTCAACTTAGATCCAAATTCGTTGCAGCTCGCGCCTGGTCTCCCGCTGCTTCTAGGCTTTATCGCCGAATGGCCGCCGCAGCTTCATCCTTCCCGTCCTCGGTTAACACCACTTCGGGCAATGTCAATGCTTCTTCTTCGCCGGTCGACGACGCAGCTTCTTCTGCTTCCTCTGCCATTGATTTCCTCTCTTTATGTCACCGCCTAAAGGTGCTTCTCCTTTAGGTTCTTTGGTGTTGCTTGTTTAGTTAGTTCTCGGTTTAGTTATCCAGTAGGAAAATCTCTGTTTCGGAGTTTTCTCTATAGCCTAAATGGATGCGAATGTGAAATGCTATACTTCTGTCTTTCTGTCTTTTATTCTGATGTCAGTTTCCAAATTATTTGTTCTAATTCATTCTATTAGTACTTCGATTAAGCATATTTTTCTGAATTTCAAGGTGCCGTGAAGATTGAAAACATAGAGTAGGTGTTTTGATAATCATTAAATTTGTCGGTTTGATTTATGCCTTTAGATAAATGCAGGCTTAACCTTCCTGACTTCGTTTCACAATTATTGTCTGCGTTTCGTTTGTTGTCTATTATCGTCGTAACGACTTGAATTCTGTGTCGGAATTAGACAACAAAAAGAGCAGGATGGATACGTAAAGATGTTAAGGATCCAGAATCAATAGCGGATCATATGTATCGAATGAGTTTGATGGCTCTGATTGCTTCAGATATCCCTGGCATAGACCGAAACAAGTGAATTTCCCCTCCTCTTCCTCAGCTGTAATGCTTGATTACATTTACATTAGCATGTGGATTGTTCTATTAATTTTTCATGTGGGCACATATTAAAGTTCGAATGAGTAAAAATTCTGAAACCTAGTTGTCTGTTATTTCCAGGTGTATAAAAATGGCTATTGTTCACGATATTGCTGAAGGTATGATGCTTTGCCTTTGATTGCCTATAACTTCCGCATATCTGGTAAAAATCGTTTTTTTAAGTGGCCGAGTATGGATGACTTTGGATGGAAAGTAACGAACGCAAGGTGGAGAATGAGTAAATGCTTAGACAAATCGGGGTTGATTATATGTGGCTCATACGAAAAATAATACTGTGTTGCGAATGAACCATGGAAAACGAGAGACTTTTGTTCTGTTAATTGCCCCAAAAAAACCCACTCAGGCACAGGCCTTTTGTAACTGGCACATTCTACTGTCTGAGAGGAAATCCCTTTAAATCTACTTGAAAGAATTGGATCCATTTTTTGAAGCCGTTGATTTGCTGCATGCTTGCTTAATCGTGCATGTTTTTAGCCCTACCAATCTTCTGAAACCATATTTAATAATGATAGAAAGACAAATAGTTTCTGCGTTGTTTCGGGTACCTCAAATTTAATAATGATAGAAGGACACATTATTTCTGCAATTTCGAGTATCTGAAATTACTGCAGGCTAATCTTTGAGCTTATAATACCATTTGCATTTCTGCCCGATACTTTCTTTCTGAGCTAATAGTTGATGCTCTTTCTTTTTTCATATTTTTCATAGCTATTGTTGGGGATATTACGCCATCAGATGGTGTTTCAAAAGAAGAAAAGAGTAGACGAGAACGAGAAGCACTTGATCATATGTGTAAAATGCTAGGTGGAGGATCTAGAGGTACTTCCATGTCACTACAAAAATAGTTTGTCAATGATTGGATTAAGTAAACTCCCTCTTGATGTATCTTCCAACTGGCTTAATGAAGCATCGGAAGTAGCTGAGTTATGGATGGAGTATGAAGCAAATTCTTCACCAGAAGCTAAATTTGTCAAGGATCTTGACAAGGTTTGTGCCTTTGAGAACTTATTTGATGAATTTGTCAATGAACGTTGTTGTGATGTTCTCTTACTTTCTGTTGAAAGTTGGAACATTTTTCATAGATGGTGTCCAGATAAAACACAGTTCTCTTTGAGTTATAAAAGCTATCTGCTTATATGATGGAGAGAACAGTGGTGGGAAGATTTAAATATTTAGAACGTGGTGATCATGCTTCAAATCTGTTACTTTATTCTGTTTGCTTGTTTCCCCAAGGGGTTCAGAAAGGTGCAATTGGGCTACATTGCATTTTCAGGTTGCCACCAGCAAAGCTTATGCCAACAAAAAGAAACAAAAAACAGTCGTGCAAATAATATTGAGTTTTTCAAAGTTTTGTCGAGAACTTCATTTGGTCATGATAATGGAATATTTTAGCATGAGACCTACATTTCTATTTGGCTGTTAATATTTGCAAATTTAGTTAATCTGATTATATTAATATTTGCTCTTTAAAGGTGGAGATGATACTTCAAGCCTTAGAATATGAAGATGGTGAGTGCTTGCTTCCTCTTTGTTCACTATATAATGTTATGGCTTCTAAAACTCTGTTAAATCATGTAAATTATCATTTAATCTTCAAAACATCAAACATCTTCCAGAGAAAAATCATTTTAGCAAGGCTCTTGTGTACCTGATATGACATTGAACTTTGTTAAACTTTTTCTCCATGGTGTTCTTGGGTTCCCTATGAGATATAGTTTTCCTTGACCTCGTATCTGTGAAATTTATTTACAGGCTACAGTTAGTTGTACGCTGAAATTACCATGATGAAGATGATAATTAAGCAGTTGAGCATTAAATTAGTATTCTATACTAAAATTTAGGAAGTTGGAACATCTTTCACTGTTTGGAACTTTGGCAGTTTCATTATGCTGCATCTTTCACTCATCCATGTGGTCTCGATCTTCTGAGTTCTGACATATTCTCTCATCGCTTTTTGCAGAGCAGCAGAAGGATTTGGATGAATTTTTTGAGTCAACTGCTGGTACGGGTTTCTGCTTCATCTAGTTCTAGTGTCTGTTTCACTTGAATCTTAGTTATATTTTAATGCTTCTTCACGCTATTGTGCAAAGCAACCCAAAATGGGGCTCAAGGTGACCTTGGGAAAGAAACTTTCGTGCAAGTGAAGAGAGCAAAAAGCTCACTATCTAATATACTGAGACCATCTTACTGTTCTTTGACATTGTGCATGATTGCTTCATAGGAAGAGAAGGCTGTTGGATTTTGAGTGAATTTGGAATTTAGATTTTCAGCCCAAACGTTCAAGTGTCTCTTTTTCTCCCTTTCGTTTTACTGTCAAATTTTAATGCATTTTGTTGGCTAACAACCTCTGATTTGACTGGGAAATCGCGGGTTGTCCATAATGCTATTATTTTAAGGATGCAATTCTTTTTTGGGGCTGCATAGCTTGCCGCTGAGCATTGTGTAGTTTGGGTGCCACATTAGACTGTGATTCTGATATTCAAATTTTGTTGGGTGATCTGGAATTAGATCCTTCCATTGGTTCCTTCGCATGTTTTCTTGAGATCCAGAAATGAAGATGGATGACTCTTAACACATGTTAACAAAGTATATAATTAATTATTTGCTTATTTTAGTGATGTTAGTATTAGTAGTTTATTCGTACTGTTCTGTCATCTTCCAACAGAACATCTGAATGGCCTTACGAATTCTCTCGTTCTTTTTTCGGCAGGGAAGTTTCAGACTGAAACGGGCAAAGCTTGGGCATTGGAGATAGTATCAAGGAGGAAGAAAAATCATCACCCCAAGTTACACTGATATTTGATCCCGTTCTTGTGTTCTTATTGCAATAATTGGAAAGCTTGGTGGTTGAGGTGGAAGTTGAACTGGCAGCGATGTGATAACAAGCAAAGAGTCCCACGCTGGGTGCCCAAGGCCCACCAACAGGCTGAGAAGTGGTGGCTGCGCAGGAAGCAGCGGGTAGAAGTACAACCCGGTTTCATTAGTAACAGAATATTAGCTAACCAATATAACCTACGTGCTCATCCAATTCTGAGCTTCCTTTGACATCTTTGAATACTCTTGGACATTTTTTTGGGCCTCAACATACCTTTGGTAGTTAATGATCTCAGCGAAGCCTATATTGATTTCTTGTTTACATGTTTAAGGTTTTTTTTTTTGGGAACTATATTTACATGTTTAAGTTGATCTGAGGGTTAAACCAAGTCGTAAATTTTATTTATTTACTACCTCCGGTCCTTAATATACAAGTTAGTCAATTAATTTGAGTAGATTGAGGAAATTAGTTAAGTTAGTTACTTGTATTAAATAAGTATTGTTTTTCCTAAAATATCTTTGCTAATCAAGTGTATTGATTAAAACTACCATTATTACAAACATTATTTGGGAAAAAAATGGATAAGTATGAGAAACAAAATGGATTGAGATCTTTATAATTAGGATTAAAATAAAAGTCAAATAAGTTTTTATATTAAAGACTAGAGGTAGTATTTTGCAAATCAATGCCTTTGTGAAAAATCTTATGACTGCGCATCCTTAAAATATATAGCCATGAGGATCAGGCTGTTGGATTTCTCTCTGTTGGCGGGAAAAATTGATTTCAAGAGTAGTGCATTGCACTTGTAAGGTTTCCACTCAGGAACGAGGAAAAACGCAGTGAGTGGAAACTGCTATATGACTTTTTTTTTTTGGGGTAACAGACAAGCTAGGCTTGAAAGAGAAAACCGCAAACATCCTAATAAGCTTCTGCAATTGACGCAGCAGATCTTCCAGCATGCTATTTGATTTTTCATTCTAATTGGATGTATATGCATGACATTGTCCAAGTTTTTTTTTGGCCCGCGCATGGGAATTTTTTCGGCCCGTTTTCATTCCATTCTAAAACCCAGGAATAATCCATCCGCTATATGAAAATGTCAACCTTGTCTTCAATCAATGTTTCCTTCAAACCAACGCGATTAGGTCTAACAGAAGAGGTTAGTCTCTTATAACGTGATAAGCTAAGGTTCAAATTCTTGCTGGGAGAGGTACCCACATTTAGTGCCTGATAGTGTCTCGAATAGGATTACCTCCAATAGAAAGATATCTATGCTTTAGCAAAAAAAATAAAAGTGTTTCCTTCAAACTATGTTCGACGGCCATATACAGTTTTAAAAATCCATAGTAGTGATTAATGATAATACTCTTTCGGTCCTAAATATAAAACCTATTTTGTGGTATAAATTACACTATAAAATAGGTTTTATATTTAGGATCAACAGGTCTTATATTTAGGATTAGAGGATAATCAATTATAATCAATAAATCATCGACTAATATATCAATAATGATTAAAACTTTCAAATAGTCGTAAAAAGATACAAAGTCCTTTCTGGTTGATGCAAATATTATTATTAACAATGCCACAAATCACCAGACATGAGCATAAGATATAGAAAAAATGATACAAAAATAACATTTAAACTTAAAAATCCCAAAATGATCACTTGAATAAGCAAAATCTCAATTTAAGCAGAAGTGACCAATTCGGGATTTGCAAGTTTATTAAAATGATTATATTGCCTTTTATTTTTTTATTGCTTTTAAAAAACCAAATACCTCCTGGCTGGCCAGTTGCCGAAGCTCTAGCAGTCGACTGACAATCTCTGCATCGGCAACTATATTTTTGAAAATTTTTATAAGTTTAGTAATACGATTAACAAGTTTTGTTACGTTATTAATAAGTTTAGTATAGCAATTAACAGCAGTTTTTCAAGAAATTCAAAAAGTAGATTTTTGCAACTTCAATAATATCATTAACAAGTTTTGTAACTTTATTAACAAGTTCGATATAGCATTTAATAATAGGTTTTTTGAGAAATTTAAAAAGACATTTTTACAACTTCAGTAACTCGGTTAACAAGTCATGTAATGATATTAACAATTCTCATAACCATAATGGCTGCCTAAGAAGGGGAAAAGTTTTGTTGTATAACCTTCATAGGGAACTAATATTAAAAACATCAATTTTTATGAGAGTTGTTAATATTGTTACACGACTTGTTGACCATATTACTGAAGTTGTAAAAATATCACTTTTTGACTTTTTCATAAAACCTGTTGTTAAATGCTATACCAAACTTATTAATAGATTTATAAAACTTGTTAATGGTGTTACTGAAGTTTTAAAAATACTATTTTTTGAATTTTGTGAAAAACCTGTTGTTAAGTGTTATACTGAAATTATTAATAGCGTTACAAAATTTGTTAACCGTGTTACTGGACTTGTAAAATTTAAAAAATTAATTGTCCTCTATCAAAGCTCCAGCGGCTGATTGTTAGCCAGCCTCCGGAGCTCTAGTGACGGCGGCCACTGAGCTCCGGCTGGCCAGTTAAAGGTATTTAGTGTTTTTTAAAAAAAAAACAGGCAATGTGGTCATTTCAGCAATTTGTAAATTTCAAATTGGTTACTTATGCTAATTAAGATTTTGTTTATTCAAATGACCATTGGGATTTTCAAGTTTACGTGTTATGTGTTTTTTTTGTCTCTTTTTCCCTAAGATATAAACGTGTTCTAACAAATGATTATGTTGCCTTCAACCAAAAAAAAAAAGATTATGTTCATTGGTTGTTTAATAATCTTTCGCCACGTGGCGAGCGTTTTTTCTGTTCCTCCAATCATCATTTTCAACTATTGGTATTTGTGTTTCATTCGTCTCTTTCAGTTCATAAAAATGACTTCCCAAAAAACTTATATTTAAGGCTAAAAAATCATGCCAGAATGTCACTATATATTAGATAAAGTACGACTAAAATTTAATTTACTTATTGTACCATCATTATTTGTATCCTTTCTCTATCCATAATGGATAGGAGCATTATTTTGCATATCTATTTTTATTAATGATTATATTCCTTTTTTATTTTAATTTCTATTTTATAAAGTTTAAACATAATATTAAAACAACATCAAATATTCGGTTCATTCAAGTGTTTCTTTTTCAAGAATCTTTATTTTCCGATAACGACTAGTTTGCAAAAATCGAGTATAAAAGGAATGCATGCTGAGTTGCTTCTTCAGAATCTTCAGCCATTTTTCTTCGTCTTCTTCAGCGCTGAGCCAGTCAAGATCGCATTCCCTTCCATTGCCCGTCGTCCATCGGCATATACTGACAAAAATTTTTTTTACGAAGTTGTGCATAGTTTGCTCTGCTTGTGAATCTGATTGACATTTCTCCATTGCGTTGCTGCAACAAACCCGAGCTTTACTTTTGGTGCTTTAGCCAAGCTTCAATGGCCTCCTCATAAGGTGATTTACTCACCGTAATGTGTTTGTGCACTTATTATGCGTTCCTCCTGCATGCTCTAACTATGTCCGTCTTTCCTTCGAACAGTGTTTCCTGGTCCATACTCTCATTCTCCGATGACGGAAACAGAAGAACCCAAAGCTTACACTCTAGTGGAGAAGCGTCTGAGGAAACGTCCATTCTTGTCCGCCATTCCAACCTCAATCAAGGCACGTTTTATTCTCTTTTCGATTTTTTCTTTTTAACTTTCCCCACAAGTTATAGAGTAATTCATTTTAAATTTGATTTTTCCTTTGAAGATCCTGCGAAAGAGAGTCGCCGACAATGTTCAAGAAAGAAGTCCAAGAATCGGCACATGAACAAAGCCACAGAAATGCCGCAGGCGATTCTCAACCTGCAGGACGAGAAGAACAGAGAATCAGCACTTAGAAAGCTCAGCAATTTTCTTCTTGAGGTTCTGCTTGAGAGTAGTTTCTTTCTCGTTCATTTCCATATCTAGGTTTCCGTTGTATATCTGGTTCTCAGAAATACTTGTGATTGGAACTATCATTCACTTGTTATCTTCTATCCATAATCCACATGAGTTTCAATTCTGCAAATGGGTTTCATTCTTTGGGGTCATTTTTCATATTTTCTCGTTTCGATAGATTACATCTCTTTGCGTGATCAAATGAAAATTAAGACTAATGACGATTCTTTGGCGTCTTACTTAGAAATTTGAACGATGAAAATTTTCTGACACTAGTTTTTATTGTGAGATTTGAGATAGAAGAGGGAGCAAGATCCGGATAATTACTACAGCACTGGGCATATGTTGTACCATTCCTGCAGTACAATGACTATTTTGCTACAGGTACGTGTTCCATAAAGGCATAAATTACGCGTATCATCGCTAGTTTGGCACTGCTTCTAATTCTTTCTTGAATAAATTTAGGAACAGAGCAATGGTCAAATAATACTTATTACTGTTAATTCTGTTGTTATTTGAAACAGGAGTTGTTGACGTTTTTCAGAATGATGGAAGATGGAAATCTCACTGCAAGAGCTTCCAAGCGTTTGGCAAATGTTCTTACCTTATTCCAGGCAATTTAGATTTCTTTTAATTATTAATTGTAGAAGAAATCGTGAGAAATTTCCACCCTGGCTTCTATATATATTCAACATTTTCATTTTCATTTTGTTTTTTAGTCCAATTACAGTGCATTGCAGCTGGTAAGGAAACAAGGCACAAATTTGTGAAATGTGAGCCCTTGTGACCTTGGTTATGCATCTTTTGGGTCTATAACTTACTTTATCTCTGACTCAATGTTGTTTCTTGATGAATAAAGCTACTTAATTCCGTTATCTCTGTCTCAATTTTGTTTCATCATTAATATATTTTCAATCCCGTTATCACTAACTCAAGTTTGTTTCTTGATCAACATAGCTTCAATCCCCAATTTTCTGGTTCCACTAGTAACGTTTAGAGCTCCTCTGGAGGAATTTGAGAATGTTAGAGCTGTTGCACTGTCTGTGATAGGCATTCTATGCCAGGTAAACTCTATTTTGATGTTTCTAGCATTTTAAGGATTTTTTGTGTCGTGAAATGAAGCTCTTGAACTTTCATCCTGGAGATTGTATTGTTTTGAAGGCAAGAGAATCAAACATCATTCAATGGGCTGTGGAAAGTAACATGGTGGAAGTATGCCGGATTAGTGTAGAGATCGGAAACGAACTCTCCAAAGTGGTAGTTTGCACTTGCATTACTCTTTGTTATTTGTTGCTTAGATAAGTGTTTGAGTACAATATGATTCTCGAGCTATCAGGTCAGCAATACAGACAGTGATCGTTTGTTTGTGCTGCAGAACTGATA